CGAAGGAGGCGGTGATCGGAGCCACTACAGAAGGATGGAACTACAGAGACATCGAGTAAGCTCCACCTTCGGTTGGTGAGAATGTGGTCGATCTCCGCGTGGGTCGTTCCGTTGGGCGATTCCCATGTCCACCGGCGATGTTCCTTCTTCATAAAGATGGAATTTCCATGGAAAAGTCGTGCGGCGGAGAGAAGCCCAACAAGACGGTTGCCGTTTTCGTTCCGGAGCCCATATCCAAACTTCCCGATCCTATATTCCCTTTCCAGTGGCATCCCGATTTTCGCGTTGAAGTCGCCCACAACAAACTTGTAAAAGGACTTCTCGTTGCGGACGACCTCCTCCACATCTTCGTAGAAAGCATCTAGTTCTGATTCGTCAGCTGCTGATGTTGGAGAATAGCAGTTGATGATGCTGATGGTCTTCTGATGTGGAGGTCGTAGTCGTAGGATGCCTAGTCGAGGTGATAGGATCTCGTGCGAATCGACAAGATGGACGATAGATGGGTGGACGACAAAGCCGACGCCTCCCACGTTTCGTGATGGAACCTTTTCACCACGAATGATGAGGGTCCCATCACTCATCTGTCGCACGTCCTTCTTCCTGGACTTCGTTTCCTGCAGAGCAATGATGTGGTAGTTGATGTGCTCTGCAGCGTCGAGAAGAGCGTGGAGGTCGGCGTTTGTGGAGACTGTCCTGGCGTTGTAAGTGCAGAGCATGAGGCAGTCTCCATGGCGTGTCGTCCGGGCAGACGTGTCGTTTTTGTCCAATCCGAAAGGCGCCCTGAGTACCCTGACATCGTTCTTGCTACCACCCGGCGCCGTAGGCGGGATCCGATGTACAGGGTTTTTTCTAAATCTTCTTGCTGTCTGAGTAATAAAATTTGTTCCCCTACAAGAGGTGGCTTACTAGGCCTACTCTTGATTTCCACGGGGTGATCGCTGACCCCGGGCTTGGAGCGGGGAGGAACCGCCTAGCGACCAGAAGAAGCCAGACGGCGGAGAATCTGGCGCGGCCAGTTCTTAGCTAGGCATCCGGCCGAAACCGGAAACGTCGAACTCCTTCACAGCTTGGGAGGCCCTACCAGAGTATACACTCGGCTGTGCATCGCAGTTCGACACCCAGTGTCACCCCCACGCCACGATGAGGCGACCGACCATTGTGGGGGTTCGCTAGATATGCACACGCCAAATACTTCAGAGGGCCATAACTTGCTTCACAATAACGCGTCGCAGCTAAGGGACGCACATTTGATACTAACCTCCCGAGCCCCGCGTCCGGGTATATACCACATACCAATCGGCCACTTCGATTCGGCGAACTTCCCTTGTTAGCTGCTCGCTAATGACCATCTGTTGCATAGATAGGAGCGATAGAAGAAAATTAGTCAAAATTTGAATTTTCTGTATAGGGTCATAAAAAATCGGAAACTTGCAAGAAAAATCGGAGCAGTTAGTATTGTGATTCTTTTGCCAGCTGTTTCTAATGGGGCAAAGTTTGCGTCGATTGAGCGTTTTTATCAAAAGTTATGATTTCCCTAAAAAATGCCAAAATAAATCAAATTCGCTATTTTGTATTGCTTGCTCGAAAATCGTAACTTTTCATAGAGACGCTCAATCGGCACAAATTTTGCACAGTTAGAAAGAGCTGGTGAAAGAACCTACACTACCGACTGCTCCGATTTTTGTTGCAAGTTTCCGATTTTTTATGACCCTACACGAAAAATTCGAATTTTGACCATTTTTCTTCTATCGCTCCTATCCATGCAACGGATGACCATTAGCAAACAGCTAAGGTGTCATTATGAAGAGCATGAGTTACTCTTTAATACAAAAATAAAATCAACCAAATTGGTTGAAAAAATCGGAAGTTATGATTTTTTGAAAATGGGGGGAAAGAACTTTCGGTTCAACCTAATATATATATACAAAATACATCTATGATATATTATAAATGTTAAATCCAGTATAGAATATAGTAGTGACCATATTGGTAGATTTAAGGATAAAATGAAACATGCTAGTGACGTTGTAATCGGATTTATTTATTATGATATTAGCCATTTTGATAGACTATTTAACCAAGTTGGTTGTTTGTAGTAGATGTAGATTAAAATCACCATACTGATTATACATTATTTTATACATAAAATTTTGCAAATCTCCAACTTGCTAATAGAAATTGCACACTACATCAGACTCACATGTACCGTTCTTGAATTTTTTCTTTATTTAGAAATCGAGAAAACGAAAATTTTCATGTTTTCACAAAAACAAAGCTAAGCTGTTTCCATTTATAATAATTGTATACTACAATCTCTCAAAAGCATAACTGTGAATTTCAGCTTTCCACAACCTCTAGTTTCCGAAAAATTAGCAATTTTAGCTCTCCTCACTCGAGTGTTTCTGCTAAAATCAATATTTCTCGAAAACTAGGGCTTGTAGAAAGCTGAAAATTTACGGTTATGCTTCTAAGGGATTGTAGTACACAATTATATAAATGGAGACAGCTTAGCTTCGTTTTTGTAAAAATATGAAAATTTTCGTTTTCTCGATTTCTAAATAAGGAAAAAATTCAAGAACGCTACATGTGAGTGTCTGATGTAGTGTGCAATTTCTATTAGCAAGTTGAAGATTCGTAAGATTTTTTGAACGAAGATATGAGTTTTTGGCGATTTTCTGAGCCTTCAGTGCGACTCACATTTTGGTTGCAAACTTGAAGTAGGTCGGAGCTGGTGCGAGTTTTTGCAAAACGCCTTGTAGAGCTTGCTTTACTTTATCAAATGGTGCCCTGAATCCCCATTAAAAATGTGAACTTCATGAATTATGCCGTAAGAAGTTGGAGTGTCTCAAGACTTATGTTACAGACTTGGGTAAATTTGATGTAGAATGTGTAACAATTTTTTAATTTTATTGTGATTATAAAATTCGTATTCATATAGTATAAAACTATTTTCATGTAAGCATTTGAAAATATTTGAGTAAATCATGTTTTCATTGTATCCATTGGAAATTAGCAAGTTGTGTAACTTGCCACTTTTTTGACCTTTTTTGACACTTTTGAAATAATATGCGGAATGGACTTCTGGTAGCTATCATTTGCGAACAAACTTTTTTCTAAACAAAAAAATTGCAAGAATTTTTTTTGATTTGCTGATTGCAAAAAGCATCAAAGCGTCCATCTTTCCTCAAAAGCTGTACTTTAACCGGTTTTTGGTCTCTCAGTTCAAAAAAAAAACGAACATTGCTGTTCCCTACTTTACGTTGGTCTAAAAAATGCCAAGCAATTTTGTTCTTTGTCTTCCCTTATAAAAAAGTTCCCCTCCGTTCTTTTCGTTTGTTTTCTTGTAGTATCTTAGCATATGCTGGTCCTTTCAAAAGTTCTACTCTTTTTCATTGAAGATTTGGTCAGCGCCTCCTCCCGACAACCCGCTGTTTTCAGAAATGGAAGCATAACATAGAAGACAACAATGTCTCTAGTTATCATGAACGCACTTCTTTCTCCGCAGAAAAAGAGCGCTGTCGACTTCAGTCAAATAAATCATAAAACTGCAAAAAAGCCTCATCATCACTGTGATTTCAGAATATCGGCATGCTTGCAAAACTCAGAAACAGTTTCTGAAGGTGTACCCCATTATAAGCAGACCATAGAAGTGAAGCAACTACGCATGCGGTCCTTTAATATCCCTAAAAAGGAGAGAGTGGATCAATAAATTCCAAGTAGTATCATCTTCTACCCTTTTTTTCGGTTCTGCCCTTTTAATAAAAGAGGTGTTGAGTGCGCATTTAGAGACAGTGCCCAGGCTAAATCTAACCCCCTCTGATTAGTGCCGATTCTGAATTTAGGCCCAGGAGAGGTGTATCTGCGTTGGGAGGACCTCCGGTGTTGTCTCTGAATGGAGATAATAGACCTGAAACAGCGAAAGTGTTATCAAGCCACTCCCTGTTATCAAACTCCGCCCATACTGAAAGCAGATGGATCTTTAGGGTATGGTTCCCAAAAATCGGGTTTTATCGGGGGTTCTGCACATTTTGACTTCTAAACTGTAATCAGGGCCACGGAAAGGCCCCAGAATGACAAAAGAATGAGAGGCCAAATCTTGGGCGGGCGCTGCCTTTAGAATTCCAAACAGCTTCACAACAATATGTGAGATAAGAGATCCTTTTTGGCTGGGATAAGGCAAACACTCAAAAAATTCCTAACTAAAGCGTTTGAAATGTTTCATCTGACAAGGGAGGTGTTTTCGGTCGAAGTGGCCTTTTCAAATGGAATTGATACGACTATAAGGAGCATCAAACGCTGATTTCAAATCTGTCTTCGTTATCTGCCGACGCCCTAGACGTCGAGTTATGAGCGTTTTTTGAGTTGAGAAATTAAATGCATACTTAAATCAGTATTCGTCAGAATTGCTCAAATGGTCCAATGTTGATTATCAAAGCACTTTATTTAAACAATATCTTTTATCCAAAGCATTCATACTTAACACTGCTCTATTTGAGCGCTGAGAATACCGTAAAATTTTATTTTACTTAGATTATGCGTTCATTTTTCGCACCAAGAAAATATTCATAACTCGACGTCTAGGGGCGCTCGCAGATAACGAAGACAGATTTGGAATCAGCGTTTGATGCTCTTTATAGTTGTATCAATTTCATTTGAAAAGGCCACTTCGGCCGAAAACACCTCCCTTGTGAGCGATCCATGGCATGTCGAGGCAAAGCAAAATTGTTGTCGCATCCCTTCAATTTTTTCTAATCAAAATCAATTAAGAGCAGCGCGCAATTCAATTTCTAGGTCCGGCAAATAAAAGCGCTTCTCATGCCATTCAAAGTTTTTGGGTCGTTTTGTATCACATGGAAGGTAAAGTTTTTGTAGAAAATTCCATTCCTCGTAACATTAAACCGTAATCATCGTTTAATTCACAAACTCAATTCTTATGACAGCACATAGTCCATAGGCTTCTGATTAGTGTTTGCTTAATGCTCTTTAGGCATTCAGAGAGATTAGACGAATACAAGGGCTTCGTTGTCGTCCTTGAAACGTTGAAGGTCGGTGAAGTATCGAAAGCAAGTGCAGACCGTTCGCAGATACCAAATTTGCACGAATAGACTGAGGCTAAGCACAGTCAGAATTTTCAACGCAGAGCTTCCTAGAAAAGTCTTATAAGATAAACGGATTTCGATACTTCATAAGCAAAATGGCTTACGATAAATAGCTTCGTCCGAGGTTACATCCACTATCAGTCGCAAAATGTATTTCGTATTACAAGCCACAGATATAGCAATCATACCCATTGATATTGCTGTAACAAATGCGACGAAAACCTGGAAGAGAGTGTTCCTTAATTGTTTTTTTTTGCGCTGAGTCATTGTTCGAAACAAGATAAATACAGTTGTATCGGTGGAATCCGGTCAGAATTGCGGGATTTCCGGAACTTGCGGCATTTAGTTATCACTTCTTCCAAAACATCTTCATTTGGAATTTGCAGGAAGATTTGGCTTCAGCTTGATGAGACGAATCTTCTATTGTACATTATGCCCGTTTTCCATGGTGCATTGTAAAAGTATGGCATGTGTTACAAGATTATCAGAATGTATTGTTGCTCTATGAACAAGTTTTTGAAACAACAAAGTATTAGGTCATTCCATGAGTTCGTACCGTTTCTCTTGAATCAATAAAATCATCAATTTACACTAAAACTCAATCAAAACTATATTCCTCGTTGTAGCGCACGATCTTTTGGCACATTCTTGTTAGCTTCTCAACCTCAATTTTTCAAACGGCAGCGCGCCGGGTCCCAAGAAAGTCATCTAACCAGCGCTCAAACTACTTACTAAAATCGAGACATGCACCATCTATGAGGTTTGCTAGAGAGCGGAACAAATGGTAACCTGATAGAGCGAGATGAAGAGTACGTTGGGTACTTCAAATAGTGCAGACAGTTTTGACGACGTTTGCCGTATGAGGCCATGTATCGTCATACAGGAAAACTTACTGGATATGTTTAAGCTTTTTCTGCGGTAGAACTTGGTTTAGTGCAGTTGGATTGCTTACTGTATGGTTAACCATCGCCTACTTGCACAGCAATTTTCAGTGCAGGACGTCCTGCTCGTCCCCCAAAAAGTCTTGTTTAGGAACACCCTGCTCAGTGCTTGATCTTTTGTAGCAATCCAATCCTTTTTCGTCTCATGATTATGTGCGAGCGCCATGTTCCATAATTGACAAAGAAAAAACTGTGCCAAAACGCTTCCTTTCATGAGGAAAAATGCGCAAATGTCGAAGTTGCTCCTTTCTGCCTCTTAAGATTTCCATCTTTGGAAGCTACAAGATTCGTTTGAATCAATTTTCCACCGGAATCAGTAGACATATTCTGAAGAACACAGTCAGCTCTTCCCGGTGATGTGCGAACCTTGCCGCACATCAACCGCTCTCACAGGTATGAAATCGAAAATGAAAACGCTACGAACTCATGGACTCAATAGTATCATATGTCAAGTAATGTTATATGTTTACCGTATCACCAGGGGCCACTCGCCTCATCAAGCTGAAGCCAAATCTTTTTGCAAATTCCAAATAAAGTTGTTTCACAAGAAGTTATAACTAAATCCCGCAAATCCCGCAAATCCTGCAATTTTGGCCGGATTCCACCGCCACAACTGTAGTATTCCTTACAGAAAACTATTTCGTAAAAATAATTGATCTGATAGCTGACTTACCTGGAATGCAATAAATGGATATAAGAGCTTTGCTTTTTTCTGCAAAACGCCCACAAAAAGGAAGAGTAGGCAAACCACAACTGGAATTAGAGGAACAGAGAATAACTTGAGATTGGGACGTCGTTGCTGTAAAAATGTAATAATTGCTAATTGTACCAGCCCATTTCAAGATATTCATATTTTATGAGCACTTCTTTTCTCTAAATGAAAAATTTGACCTATATTCAAATAATAAAATTATTTTGGTCGCATCTTTCTTGCGTCAAGTCTAGAAGCGTGAGGTCAACGTCGTTCAAAAATGGCCCTCCCCCTACACACCTACCTGAACGACCCCTCTTACCTCTTCACCTTCATAAATCTGAGTTTGGGAATAGAACAGCTTGTAACTAGGAACTGCTGATTATTTGAAGTTGTAGGCACAACTTTGTGCGATTGCACTCGACTAAACGGTACAAACATCATGAGTGACGGACGATTTCTCCTAGATGTGAACTTTCCCAACAGCCATTCCTCAGAAAAGGAGGTTTCTAAATTACTACTGTGGCAAGAACGGAATTTGAGCTTACGACCAATAACAAAAATGAACCGGTTTGCAGATTCTGCGATAAAATCAACTAGGTCAGGCACAATCCTTCAAAAGGATATACAGATGGGCCGCTAGTAATGTACCTGCCTGGTGTCATCATAAATGCCGGCAAGTTGACACACATCGCGAAAAATTGAAACTCTGACGTTAGCTCGTGTACTGGTCATAGGTTTCATGGTTTCATATTATCTTAGTCCGTAGACGCTATTTCCAGAATTTTGACGGAGTCCTCCGCAAAACATTGACACTTCGCACGTTTGAACCGCATGCGTCGATTTCGAGCGAAAGCGCACTAACCGATACATCATGCACCAAAAAATCGCAACTCAAGTTTTTTTGCTTTCTTGCTAGAAAGTTTCAAAAAATTTCACATAGCTCACTTACCCCTAACTCCCGCCCCTAGCTCAAACTTTGCAGAAAATTGACAAAAATGTAATAAGTATGTTGCATGCTTGATAAAACTACTCATACTCCCTTCCCCAACCTGTGTGCCAACTCTCAGCCTCATAGCTCAATTTTGCAAGAATCGTAAGATCGGTAAAAGAATTAGGTGATTGTAAAATAATATTGTATTCGTAATTAGCATATTCACTTACTCTGTGCCAACTTCCAGCCCTATAGCTTAATTGCAAAAAATCGATAAAATTGGTATCGATCAATAACAAAAAGTAGCCTACGACCCAGACTGTATGGTGCAAAGTTCGGTACGGACCGCAAACAAAATCCTATGCGGAAGATACGTACAGACAGACAGACATTCAGTTTTTTATATAAGATTGGTTGTCTGCATTTCGAAACTCGAAACATTTTATTTATTCAACTCTTACAATTTTCTCTCGTATATTAGATCTGGCTAGAGTTTAGAGGCAGTTTCCCGGCAAGTTGGGGTTTCGTGATTTTCAGTGCCTTACAAAAGTGGACCTTGTTGGACAAGCCATTGCGCAAATGCGAGCCTGTAACATTTGACCAAAAGCAAGAAAAAGGTCGGAAATTTGGGGAAAAATATGCCCTATTCATCCAAGTTCCCTTGTAGATTTCTTGCTCTGCGGCAGATACGCACGCCGCCAAAGTTAATGTCGTAGAGTCTCACAGCAAATTTGCATCATAATCTTGGAAAACAAAAATCAAGTCCTTAATTAGAAACTAACATAAGTTTTGCCCGGATACTACTTTTTGTAAGTAAAACATAAGCCAACATCCCTTTTCTAGATATTCTACCTGTGTGCCAGAAAGGTACTTCGCCAAAGTACTTCGATGCGCTCTGTTTTGCTCTACTCACAAGCAGAATTTCATGGACTAAATTTACCTCCTGGGAAGCGAAAACACAGTAGAATAGAATACAGCAGATACCGATGAGGACATTGAAGCCAGCAAAACATGTGGTAGCCTTGAATCAATCACTCAACTCTTGTCCATACTATATAGCTGATTTTAAAACCAAACTTTGTGTCTTCATTGGATAATCAAAATTTCAAGCAGAAACATACCTTGACGTGAAGTGCACCAAAGCAAGTTAGGTAAGTGCGATGATCATGTTTGAATACTTTGATGCCCTTAGCAAATCGTTCTCGTTTTTGAGACAACAGAGTATTGGTTGGAGAAACATCCCCGGGAGTACTTGGGCAAAAATCTGTTGGCGTCTCCGTTCTTGTATTTGTCCGTGATTGCTCTAATACTCAATATATAATACAAAGGTTGAAAAAGATACACTGAAACGCAGTACCTGGTAAGTTGATGTTCATTTCACGAAGGTGTGCGACACTGAAACATGCAAGGCTGATATGCGCTTGAGATTTACGTCAGTTGAAGATGGATCAATGAGGATTAGTATGGCCTCATACGAACGTGCTCGTGCTTCAGTAAGCAGAATCATATTAGCGAGAGTAACTTTGCTTGATGACGCGAAGTAGAAAAACACTGTGAAAAAAGAAGCAGAAGAATTTGCAGATGATGCACTCTATAATTCAAACCATAATTCAAACCAAGCAATGTTACAAGCTTCACTTTTTCTCTAAGTTGTACTAAAAGGTGATATTCCCTAATCCATATTTTGCATGTGAGGAAATTGACTTGCAAAAGTTTCTCAGAAGTATGTTCTATGGAAAGCTGAAATTTTACTATTATCCTGTTCGATCGTTTAAACCTTCATCCTTGAAGACCCTAAAGTTTTGATGTGAGCGTAAATTCAAGATTGAACATTTTTTGTTTTTTTGTCATTTTTCTTGCTTTTGGCACTTGTCTTCGTCAGAGCCTGAGAGTCAAGTTTCAAGCTTTGTTCTTTTGTATCTGTCCTCTTTACTGGCCTCATATCCAAATCCGCACATAGGGTTTGAAGGGCTCGATTTCTTGCGTATCGGCGATACAGTCCTCTTTCTTATTCAATTTTGGATTCATATCACTAATGGCTTTACTAATAATAGTCTTCTGTATATTACCAGAGGTGGAGAGAGTTGTGCTTTAATTTACCGTAGATTCTTTGACACAGCACCGTACTGGACATCTTTTCAGCACTACGGAAATGTGTTGAAATGTGTTCAGCGTTATTGTAAAACCTTGCACGTGGATCTAAATGAAACTCTAAACTGAAAGATCCAGAAGTGGAATTCACAAATCAAGCTGTTACCCTTTTTGCTTCAATCATGTTTCCCCCAGCAGAGTGCGCAGAATAAGTTTCAGTTAATGAGAATCACTATCTGGATTACTTCGATGTTTTTTGTATTAAGTAATGGGATTTGCAGTCAAATGTCTATGATCCATGTGCGTAAAAATGGTCGTTTAGTCGCAGCGCCAATCAGATCATGGGCTATTCTACACATCGTAAGGATGGTGCTTCCCTTATCAGCAAATTTTAAAATGATTCAAGAGTAATGGGGCACCTTGTTCCGAACACGTTTAAAGGTTTCTTTCTAGTTATTATAAGCAGTCAACAGTGCAAACCTTTTGTAAAAGTGATATTCGCATGTAATCGATAGCATCTTGCAGCTTTTCACCCACAATCCTCTGAGCGGCTTTCCGACGAAATCAGAAAGACTTTTTTGGACGCCATCCGAAATTGTGCTGGTGTATCCCGAAGTTCTTGGACATACATACCATTCGAAAAGGCATCTCTTTCTAATGATATTTGAATGTGCGGAAATTTGGCATTATCCTGCATAATAAAGACAATTTATTCAAAAAATACACTAGCACAGCTTATCCAAGCTAGAAAACATGCTGCAATCACATTTTTAAAAACAGGAAAAGTTGAGGTAAGTTGTTTACGCTTGGCAGAGCACAAAAAGCTCTAATACATTGTACCCGTAAAAGGCGAGCTGTGATGGTTTCCTTTTGCAGGTAACGCTTTGAGCCATTTTTAGGCCTTCGAGAGAAAGGCGTCCATGATCGCAATTTTGCAGAGGTCAACAATCTCCTGCTCCACCAAAGTAGCTAGAAATTATGAACTATGCGCAAGTCTAAAAAAACTTTTCAAAATAAGCAAAATTCAGTTCCTAAACCACTACGACATGCTTATTCAATGTAAAATATGACAACGGTACCGCAAACTTTACTGCAACAATGTTTTGGTGCCTTACTTAAGCTCATTGTCACAATCTTCACCGGTCCAATTAAAACAGCAAGCTTGTCCAGTGATGATACAAGGGCTAGGTGGTACCGCAAGCCAACTTTGTGGAGACATTTTGTCCGCTTGTCCCGCATCCTAACAAGCTTGAAGGTAGCGTCCGGTCAAATATGAAGACTTGGAATACAGACTCGCCCGCCCTGATGAAGCTGGCGCCCAAGTGGCGGTGCATAAATTTGCTTCTGAAGCGAGAAAACCGCTGCAGAAGTTGCGACCGGAGCTAACCCGGCGACCAGGACGAGTTCGACAGGCCAGAGTGCACACAAATGTAGGGTCTCATAACGACTCTGCTTCTTAACCTTGGCGGCAGACGTTTAATTTCAATACCAAAGGTTGTGAAATAGCTCGTTATCGACATTTTCGTGCTCTTCAAGCTGCATGTTCGATCAGCGAGAAGAATGAGCCCAGGTAAGCAAAAAGATTTCTTATCCAAAATTTTGCCCAGACGCTGCTTCCAAGTCGATAAGTAAAACATATTTACAGTTGCTAGAATTTCCTTGCGTATTCGAAAGCAGGCTAACAATGGTCTAGTCTACTAAGGCTAGATCATAGGTGCGATGGGGTGATCGGGGTCCCTCCAAAGTGAAGGGTGTTCCAGCCGATTTTGACCCTCAAAAGTGAAGGGTGTCCAAAAAGTGCCGGCGTCGAACGGGGGGGGGGGGGGGGAATTGAAAAATGTTGAAAAAAATGGTGAAAATAAAATTATCCAGTTCAAATGGTCAAACTTTCTAAATTGGATTTGTATGAAATATAATTAGTGAAATATTTATAAGTACTTTGTTTTCAATTTATATAAATAACATTTCATTTTCATACACCATTTTTGGTGAGAAAATGCATGTTTAGGTGGGTGGAACCTGTAATATTGTCAATGTGATTTCGACCGAAAATTGCAATGGACAATGCCAGATACTCGAGGCTTGGAAGGTGCTGAATGAAGTTTCACTTGGAACTTACAAATGTGGATAATATTAATAAGAGACTCCACGATGATTAGGAATTATTGTTGCAAATAAATCCGTAAGTCGGTATCTATGGAATACAATAAAAAAGTTTGTTGCTCAATTGTGTCCGCTTGAAGCAGAATAAACATACACAATGTAGCACAGTGATAAGACTAGTATAATTGATGTCAGGAGAAATTCCTAGGGCAGTAAAATTGAAGCTACGATGTTGACGATAATTGAGCAAGATCAGTTTTTCTAACTTGAGTAACTTGCAGTAGATCACTCTCCAGTATAACTCTTGTATGAATGGGCTAAAGCCAAGTTTAAGCTAGATTTGAATTCTGGCCTCTAAAAGCTATACAACGATATATAATTTGTGAGGTGCAATATCTTTGCCAGGTGAGATAGTTTCCAGAGGTCCAACGGTACCCCCCCCCTCCACGTCAGAGCCCCATATCTCCACGGTGGGGGCATTTCATGATTTAGGTTTTTTGCATCTTCAAGAGGGAGGTCCATTTAGTATTACCTATACCCTCGCAAAGAGATTCCACGGGAACGACTGACTTAAATTCCAAATTTACCTGTGTTTTTCAAGCGCCTTTTATTCCTTGCTGTAACTCTCCTTCAGTATATCCGATCTTTCTGCGAGGGTATAGGTAAGACTCAGTAAACCTCCCTCTGTAAGACGCAAAAAAACTGAAGCACGAAATGCCCCCGTCGCCGAGATATGAAGCTGCAAAAAAACCCATCAAAAATCGATTTTTTTAATATAACTCTTATATAAGTAATTAAATCAAAACGTGAATAGTGTAGGAAGATTCGTCTCGTCAAGAGCTTTCGAATGATATATAACATGTGGGGGTTTACTGCTTCCGGGTCGCGGGAAGGGGGGGTGATCGGTCTCAGTTCAGGGCGATCACCTGGCGGCGCCTCTCCAATGCATTAAGGTAGCGGGGGGTGATCGCTTTGAACTGAGACCGATCACCCCCCCCTTCCCGCGACCCGGAAGCAGTAAACCCCAATATGCTATATATCATTCGAGAGCTCTTGATGAGTACAATCTACCTATACCCTTCCCATTCAATTTCATTCACATACAAACAAGTTATTTGCAAAAAATCGATTTTTGGAGGCATGATTTTTGCTCTATTTGCGACTTTATAACTCTAAGAGGAATACTTCTTAGGATCTACTTTTTTTTCTATGTGATAGAGGAAAGGTTCCTTATTAACGCCTATACTCTCGCAAGATGAAATTCTGCAACTTACTCAAGTTATACTGCCTCAAAAACTGACTTTTCTCAAATATGGCCAACATTGTGACTGCAACTGTACTGCCCTAAAAATTTCTCCTGACATCATTTGTACTAATTTTATCATTGTTCTGGACTCTATATCTTTATCTACTTCAAGCGAACACAAATGAACACCATTCTTTATTGTACTGCTTAAATATCGACATAAAATTTTATTTGCAAAAAAATAAAACATGATCAATGCAAGGTCTCTTATAAACATCATTCACATCAATATTTTCCAGGTAAATCTATCCATCAGCGCCTTTCAAGCCTCTAAATATCTGTCATTGTCCGCTGCATATGTTATTGTTGGTTAAAATCATTTTTATAAGATTCTGCGTTCGATCTTTCTAAAAATGCATTTTTCCATTGATATTTTTGTAATTGTGCAGTAAATCTTCACCTTGGAAAAATTTTTTCGTCCGTTAGGTGAAGGGGGGGGGGGGTGGTCCGACCTCCAAAAGTGAAAGGGGGGTGAACTTTTGTTCACCCCATCGCACCTATGGGCTAGATCAAATGACTGCTTCAAAAATCCTCAAATTCACGGATTTGCTCGCAATACAGCCAGTACCTGCTTTCTGGATAGATAAAGCGGGTTTTACTTCTGCTTGCTATTCTTACCGGACGAGTCAAATGCTGCAGTGCAGCAGTGCATAAGCCGTTTGCGAGACGTTCATGATCGATGTACTGCCCTCGAACAGAAATGTCAACTGGTCCGAAATTGTGTGCTCGTACATGCAGGTCTCCTGCTCGCGTCGTTTTGCACAGAAGAAAGTAACGCGTTTATCATAAAGAGCTATTGTGTCATAGACATTGTATCCAAAATCGTTATTTTCGGAAAACAGAACCTCCTATCCAAATGCCGCGTTATAGAATATT